CTCAAAACATAAAAAATGGAACTCCCATTTGATTCAGTGATCCCATTTCTAGTAATATTTCTCAAGAAATCAGAAACACCAATCAGAAAGGATATATGCACCCCTATGTTCATAGCAGCACAATTTACAATAGCTAAGATTTGGAAACAGCCTTAGTGCCCATCAGCACATGAATGGATTAGAAAACTGGTACATCCACACAATGGAATACTAAGTTGCTGTAAAAAAGAAAGAACTCTTAACCATTGACAACACCGTGGCTGGACATGGGGAGCATTATGCTAAATGAAATAAGCCAGTTGGAGAAAGATAAATATCACATGATCTCACTCATTTGTGGAATATAATCAACAACATAAACTGATGAACAAAAGTAGATTCAGAGACAGAGAAGCATTGATCAGACCATCAACCCTCAGAGGGAAGGCAGGGGAGGGTGAGGGCGGAGGGGTAAGAGATCAACCAAAGGACTTGTATGCATGCATATAAGCATAACCAATGCACACAGACACTAGGGGGGTGAGGGCATGTGCTGGGAGAGGTCAATGGGGAAAAAGGGGCATATATGTAATATTGTAAACAATAAAGAATTATAAAAAATTTTTGGAAAATTTAAAAAAAGCTTTTGGTAAAACAAAAAATAACAGTACTGGTATACAAGAAAACATTTATTTGAAGTACTTAGCACAGATTCTGACATATAGTATATACTCAATAATTATTAACCATTTTATTATGATTAACTGCAATAGTATATGGCACATGGACACAATTTCACTTTTCACATATTTAAGTTGATAAAGTTGTGGGTGAATTTTTGCACTTATTTCCAGTAGACTGTGATAATATTTCTTATGCAATAATAAAAAAAAAAAAGCTGTACTAACTCAGAGGCATCTATTTTTGAGCCAGAGTTCATGTAAGAGCTTGCACTGGTAGAACTACTTAGCTCTAAAGAAAAAGATGAGAAAAGAGACAGATATTTCATTGGAAGGACAGGATAGAGAGACCGTCTTCCCCTTCTCCTCCCCCCACCCCAAGTCTATTCAGGGTATACAAGTAGTTATTTGTTGATAACTCTATTTATTCTGTACTTTTTATTTTCTGGTTATCAGCATTAACTTTAGACCAAAAAAAGCACATTGTATTTGCTTAATATAATGTCTAGAATAATGGCATGGCTAGATAACTATTTCAGTGATGGTTAAAAATATTTTTTCCTCTGCCAATAATTCTTGTTTAACCAAGCCAAAATCAATCTGTGGATCATAATACTATTCTGGGACTTGGATTAAAAATCACAGAAGGTTTTAATCTCTTTACTGCAAATATCCTAAAATAGGAGCAATGCTAGTTTCATGAATATGAATCAAATGCATTTCAACTACTATTCCTGGATTAAATTGTTATAACTATTAAAAAAAACATATAAGAATGAAGGCTGGGTAGGTAGGGCCTGGAAAGTGGCATGAGGGGGTGGTTAAAGGAGTGGATAGGTTCATGAAATCATTACTTGTTCTTTATTTTGATTGCCAGAATTATTACTTGAACAATAAGTTTTTTAGCTTTTTTTTTAACAATTTTTTATAAATATTGTCAGGGGTGGGGGGGCAGTCACACATTACTTCCAAGATAAGGCTATTGGAATAGCAGTTGTTTGAGACAACATGGACATGAAGAGATAGCATCTTCTCTTTTAAGCTTAAATTTTTGAACATGAGCTTAAAGAAGAAATCTCTAGCTCAGGTCTTAATTGCTTTCCTCCCTAGTTTCTCCCTTTCCTGTTTTACCAGTATACGTAACATTTGGTGTAAAAACTGAAGAAAACACGGCCAGCTCCTTGGAGCTAATGAGCTGCTCCTATGATCCCATTTTAAAGTTGAGGACACCAAGGCTGAGGTGATCACAGCATTTTAGGCATTAAGAGGGGCCTTTGAAGGCATCTAATCCAACCCTTTCGCCCCTACCTCTAATGTGACCACTTGACAACTGGGGAAGGTTAACACCTTGTAAGTGGTGGAGGCAGAATTCAAGCCTGTCCTAAAACCATGTTCTTTCCAAGCTGCCTCAGTACCTGCTTGGGATTTTCTTGCCTGTGTTGGAGGAAGGCAGCCCAGAAATCAATTCCTGGTATTTTCGGGGGCTATAGAGGTCTAGGTACCAATTTTACCTTTGGGCTTCCTTGTAAGCCCTACTGAAGGCCTTCCTAGAGCAATACTTGATCTTGATCTTCTTCTCTAGCTCTAGGAGTGGATCTGACCTGTGCACCCCAGACAGACACTTAATCCCAGCATCCTTTAGATTTGGAGACCTCTCCATGCTCCTTAATCCAGTCCAAGGTTCTTTCTCTGCAAAAGGGTAGGGATAGATTGTGCCCTCTGAAAATTCTGACCTCTCATCTTAGAATCTAGAAAATCTTTCAGTGATTTTTCTTATCTCACATCTTATTTTTCCAAACTTGTTTGAGACCAAAATAAAGCACATCCATTTCCCAGGTGTAACTCCTGGTCATTCACCAACCACTTCTTATACTTGAGGACCCCAGGGGAGACATTTGTGGCTCAGGGTGAACCGCACCCGCACGCCCCCACCTCCCCCCCATGCTTCTCCAGGTCTCGGTTGGTTTTTATATTTTTTCAGTTAAAAAAAAAAAAAAAAAAAAGAGAAATACTGGAATACAATTTGTGATAAGTCAAGCACAGCTTGAGAGAAAGCTTTCATTACTAAGCACAGTAACCTATTTATAGTGTGTGTCACCTTTGATTGCTTTCAAATGACTCCTTGTGGAGACTCTTTTATCTCTGCCATGAAAACCCGGTATCTGGCTAAAGGCTGGAAAAGCAAGCACGTTTCTTTATAACTGCCCTGCATTCATTTGGGGTGGAGATGATTAGAAGCACAGTTAATTGTTAGTAAGATCGGAGCACTTTGGGTTCTTTGCTACTCAACAGAGTGCTTTTGTGACTGGTTTTTGAGCACAAACACATCTCCTTTATTTTTACATACAGAGCTCTCTTTGACATACAAGCCAGAAATTTACTTGAAGCAACCTAAATAGTATGAGAAAAAAATGTCTGTTTGGTTGGTTTCTTTGTTTAAAAGACTGAGCATTATAGAGTATCCTTACAGCATAATGTAGGTGTGTTCCATATAGAACAGCTGAATGTAAGCAATTTATTAAGGAGGAAGTGAGCACGAAAAGCTTTTTAAATTCACTTAAAATATTTTGAACCCTTGGTGTACCTTAATTACTCAGGAGTCTCTAACACTAGGTTCTGAAATACGACCCAAATGGGTTTGATAATAAAGCCTTTTTTTTTTCCTGTCTTAGCTACATTTTGGGAAATGTTTACATATACACTGAGTGGCCAGATTATTATGACCACCTGACGTATGTAGGCAAATTAGCTATAATTTTGCACTGAAGTTGCTAGAGGGCCAGACCATTATAAATAGGGAAGCAGGTTGTTTACCACAACAGAAGTGATGTTTTTTCTGAAGATATAGCTAAGCTTCTTAAACTCATAATATGTATCTTACATTTTGGGGTTTACATATACACTGAGTGGCCAGATTATTATGACCACCTGACGTATGTAGGCAAATTAGCTATAATTTTGCACTGAAGTTGCTAGAGGGCCAGACCATTATAAATAGGGAAGCAGGTTGTTTAACATGACAGTAGAAGTGATTTTTTTTCTGAAGATATGGGTAAACAACGCAATTTAACAGCCTTTGAACATGAAATATATAATTTATATATATATAATTTATATATATATAATTTAAAGTGGCTGATCAGAAATCAGTAATGCATACACAAAATAAAGAGATGAAAGCAAAAGTAAAATATGTGGGAATATAAAATTAAGCCACTAGTAAGAATAATATTACTACACAAATGTATCTTGTAAGGTGCATCTACTTGGTCTACTAATAGGTATGGGAAGTATACCTGAATTTAAATGAAAACTCTAATACTGATTATAATTCACATCTCTTTTCATTGCCCTGGAGTTCTTAACGATGCCCAAACAACTCTAAATTTTCACATTTGTAAATTAGCGTATCCAGTGATATCCTCCTGGAATCTTCCTGCTTCTTAGTCATCTTACCTCCAATTAGCCTGTCATCCTCAGAAGTTGATGCACTAGTCATCGCAGCCCATTTTACTTCTTGGTTTTAAAAGGGGGGGATTCTGAATGGGGTTTGTGGGGAATGGGATGGCGTAGGGCAGTTAGATATTATTGGAACCATTTGGGAGAGGATAAAGAAGACATGTTTAAAATTTGTGATTTTTTAGTTATCCAAGTCATCACAACAGAAGGATTTCATGTAGATAAGGCAAGCTTTCAGAGAATGTATAACATGTCTTGATAGTAAACGTTCCCCTACTCACATAATAAGCCTAAATGTCCAGGATTAGAAACTTTGTATAAAGCTCTTGACCAAACAAACTTGAACACATCATTATCTAAAAAGACCTGAAAAGAATGCAAAGCATTAGAGTACATAATTGTTCAACAATATGGTAAATATGTCAAACCAACAGAATCTTATGTTGCTATTAAAATTATAAAAGTTGCATAAACAGAAGAGTTTTTTATAGAAGTTATAAAAAGTAATTATAATAGAATAGAAAATGAAAACAGTTATGTAAACTATAAAATACATAAGCTATCTAAGCTAGACAAAATATAAGGTTGCTGTGTAAAAACCAAAGTTATACTGTATTGGGTCGATCAAGATGATTATTTTCTTTCTCACAGTATTTTGTGATGTTTTGTCATTATAATAAACATGATTGAAGAAGAAAATAAATTAAAAACAATTTTTCACGTGAAGAATATTTTTTACAGGTTTACCAAATTATGTGTACTTCCCATTCATTAAAATGTGATTTGGTTTTTAAGTCTAAAATTTACAGACTCCTGGGAGATTATCTAAACTTGCCATTAAAATTTGCATTTGGTGGGAGTATTTTTCCATAGAAATTTATACAAGAGAACTCAACAATGTTCTTTTTTTTTTCCTTCCCTTTTTTTTTTTTAGGGATTGGCATAGGAGTCTTGGTTCGAGAATACAGCAAACTCTCTAATCTGGAGAAGTTCTACTTTGCCTTTCCTGGAGAAATCCTAATGAGGATGCTGAAACTCATCATCTTGCCACTAATTGTATCCAGCATGATCACAGGTACCTTAAATTGCTCTTTTCTAATTATGGGAAAAATCAAAATGTATTTGATGTAACATACACACTTTCTCACATACCTTACTTGGAAAGTGTATAATTGCTTGAGTGGAAATATTCCATTATTCACAACGTGGCATTGTTTTGTGGTACTATCTACCAGAGCGCAAATATTCATATGACCATTTTCAAACATTATAAATAAAACTCTATCCAGGGCACTGAAGTTTAAAAAAAAAAAGGAAAGTTTTTTCACTGAAATGTCAGCCAGTGTTCTCAGGCGAAATGTGGTTGTCAGTTTTGATCACGTTTTCCATAGTTCACTCATTTGTTTCCCAACTGCAGCCGTCCTGCCCTCGATCCTCTCAGCAGCTGCCTTCAGGGTCCTCTCCCCCTTCTCCTCACCCACTTGCAATCCTCCACAGAACTCAGAGCCTGCTACATACCTGCCCTGCAAATGGTCCCAGGGTGCCAGCAGCCACATCCTGTGGGATAGGTTCAATTATAGGTTTGCACCATATTTTAAAAGCCTAGTATCTTTAAATCTAAACTTGTGACGCAGTTAAATTTGGAAATTATTTTTCCCTTACTGATCATTATATTGCAGATTCCCTTTAAAGAGCAAGAAATTAATTTGGTTTACAAAAGGTATTATTTGTCTGGTTCTGGTAAACTTCTCTGTGCATTTCAGTTTCTTGTACTTATCTTAATTCTGGCAATAAGCAAAATGTGGCATGACAATCTATTAGTGCTGTCAGCTGGACAACCAAGGTTGTATATAACTATGTAATTAGGATTCTTGTTTTTCTATTACAGTTTACATTCCATATTATTTTGTATTAGTTTCAAGTGTACTGTAGTGGTTAGATGGTCTATATTAGGATTCTTGACATGTCCTCTTCTGGAACATTTTTCCCACTGCTACTAAAGAGGCCTGGGATTGACCTAGGTAGAGTACTGGACATTGGCTGGGGAAGGAAGGGTGGATGTCAGGATCCGCACATTCAGTAGTTGCATTGCTATAGATTTGGCCATTGAACTTGTCAAATGCCAAACCACGAGACTAGAATCCCTTGGGAGCCTTGTTCCTAAATGGTCTTGGTGTTGTTGGCTTATTACAGATCTGAAGAGAGCGTTTAGTTATTTTTATTTATGAATTTAATTATGTTTTTAAATCCCTGGCTTCGGTTAGGCCCTGCAAGCCTGAGGACCAAGTCAGCAGACCAGTTGTCCGTACCATACAATGTTTTTTTATTTAACTTGAAATTATTATCAGCATTTAAAATTTGGAAGATTTCATGTAAGCATCCAGATTTCTGGCTTGCTTGGTTGGGGGGAGAAAAAGTAAGACCAGGAAACACTTGAACCTATGTTCCCACCTACCAACAGTGATCTGGAGCTTAAAGATAGCTAGCTACTCTATGTAGTTGGAGTGAATGTAATTGAGGCTACCAGTTTCCACCACTCCTTATTGCCTAATACCTCATCCACTTCACTCATTTATGTTAATCTCCGGCCCCTGTGAGCATTGCTGTTGTGACAACCCTTTAGAATTTTTTTCCAGATCAAAGGGTCATAGTGTTTTCTCAGGCTCCTTTGAAACCATGATGGAAGTTTTGGACTCTCTCCCACGAAAAATGTTCACCATTGTACTTACATACTGTGTTGTGCATGTAGTTTCACAAAGTTCATAAACCACTTGGTGATCGATGCTCCTTAGAATTTGTGTCTATGGAGGAAGGTATGGAAGTTGATCCAAATTAGTCAGCAAATCCAAAACTCATGCAGTAAACCAGGCTTTAGAAGATAATACATGTATGAATATACTAGTTGTATAATGTTTGAAAACATGTACTGCTCTTGGCAGTCAGTAAGTAGTAAGATTTTTGCAGTCTGGCTGTTTTCGGTGCTACTTAGCCCTGCATATAATCTAGGAAATAATTTACAACCTTCAGCATTCCACTCATATAACCCAGCTGTTTTGTTGGAGCTATAGCACAGGACTCCATTTTTCCTTCACTAAACCCCCAGCAGTTAAAAAGGACTCAGAGAGCAGAACCACTCCCCATACCTTTGACATAGATCAATAAAATGGTCAAAGATTCAAGGGACATGAGCAAAGCAGGATGGGAACAGTAATTCCCTATGCACGTTTTTAAGTTGTCAGACTAAACGAAAAAAGTAATAATACTAGTGCAGTCAGGAGGGTAAAGCAGAAGTTAGGAAATACACAGGAGGAGCTGCTTTCACATCTCAGAAGCCTTTATAAATCCACAGATCAGTAGCTTATTTTATACATCCAGTAGGCCAGCAGAGGATGCATGTTGGAAGCTGGGTGAGTTGAATGAGCCCCGGGGATGCATTAACTAAAGACAGAGACACAGCAAGAATTGAGGCCCAAGACTAAGAACCTGTGCTCCTGCATAAAGGCAATGCTCTCATCAAAGTAACAAGTGGAAAAAAACCCTCTGCTGTTAAAGCCGCTGCTAACCTAAAAGTACTTCCTTTATAGCTTTAAAAAAAATGAGGAGAATCCCTCTTCCTGTGATGGTGAGGATCCGATATCATGTGAATCAGAAACATTTGAATACAGACTGGCTATTAGATGGCGCCAAGAAATGGTTGATACGTCTGTGGGGATAATGGTATTCGTTATGCAAGAAAATGTCAGTTTTAAATGTATATGGGATTATGTAGGTTTGAAATGACAATGTCTGGAATTTGCCTTAACAAGGGAGAGAGCGAGAAGGGACAGTAGACATAATCTCAAGGCGTTTTTACAGACAGACAATGTAGGCACTCACAAAATTTTACCCATAATTTATATCTGAGGGACACTGGTGCCATGCACACTGTGGGCCCTGTTAACATTTAGGTTTGGAAGCTCTATTTACATCAAACCACGAGGGAACTAGCAGGGGAAATGGCTTTGAACATGCCTGAGTACTGTGTCCCCGGAAAATCCTACTCCAGTCTCACCAGCCAGTGAGTGTAAATTCGGGTCACATTTTCTTTCATGCCCAAATTATGATGGTTTTCACTTCCTACGGGCAGCACAGGAAAGGAACAGCCCCTCAGCTCCCACTCCCAGAGGTTCCCAGAGCATCTTTCCAGGATGCGCCTCAGAAGTGCTCCCCTGGGCACAGCTGCCACCTGTGGGGTCTCCTGTGGCTGCCGCCACTCCTCTGACTCTGAGGAGCTCCCCTCTGCTTCTCATCCCAAGATGAGAATGAGAATTTAATTCTTCATAGCACAGCAAAGACTAGGCTGCTGTTTGGGACAAAGTTTTCTGAAAGGTTGAAGGATAAAAGGAGGTGAAACATCAACAGTGGCACAGAGCTGCTCCCTGAAGGGGCTCTTCTGAGAGCCTCGGGGTCCCCTAAGAGGGCTGCCCCTCTGCTTAGCTGTCGATCCGCCTCCATGAGTGTGCGACCAGCTTATTCTTATACACGAAGATGTTCTAGGCATTGCTGCGCACCAGGCGCATCACCCAACACTAGATTCTAAGAGCGAAGAGTTTCATCATCACAGAGGCCCTTTTGTGTTGGCCAGGAGCAACCTCGCTTGCTATTATGGAATATCCACTTCAGGGAAAACCTCTACCACAGCCTCAAGGGGCTGGCTTTGTTGCGCGGGCCTCATCAGGAGACTCACACTAGAATGAATACCTTTAGTACCAGCTGTGTTGTATGTAGCATACCCACCCAACTTGGCAGACTTGGAGTTTGTCCAGTTTGGGCTATACCAAGTCCACGTGGCTCCTGTGCACAGTCCCCCTCCAGAGCAAGACACTCATTCCTACCCCCTCCTGTGGCATCTTACTCTGGATTTCCTACAGATGCTGGCTCCTCAAGAAGCAGCACCGGTTTGCAGCTCTCTGCATCCCACGTTTACACCAAGCCTTTCCCTTTCCCACCACCTCAGGACCCTGAGACCTGGACCCTAGTACTGATGACTTCGATAAAAACTTGTGTGATGTTTGTCAGTGACTTTCCAGTTTCCACAAGAGCACTGATTGGGTAACAGACTTACCTTTAAGGGAGCTTCCCCAAAGATAAATTTAAGACTCCACCATGGGGAGGGAAAAATTTTTTTAAAGGCTCCAAACTTTTAAATGGTTGCTACTCCATTTCAGGATTTCAAAATTTTTAGGGTGTGATCTCAGCTGACAGGGCAGAGGTTTTCCACCACTTTTTAACAAAGAAAAGAAATGAAAGGCTTCGCTATAACCAGTATGTATTAAACAGCCAGCTGGAGAATACCTATGTGAGTCCGTTTCTTTTCAAGTGGGAGAATGCAAGCTTCTTGTAAAGAGCCAGGCAGTGCATGTTTGGGGCTTTTCAGGACAGTGTGTCTCTGTCCAGCTACCCAACTGGTTGTTGTAGAAAAGATAAACATTAGATAAATGACTGGGCATGGCTGTGTGCCAATAAAACCTTTATTTACAAAAAATGGGAGGCCAGCCAGGTTCTAGCCCAAGCTGAGATGAAAGATAAGATTAGATTCTGACCTTCAAAGATACAGTCTAGTCAGGTAGAATCCTGGTGACAAACCAACAAACATTTTCTCTCTCGCTCTTTTTTTTCAATCTCTTCCCTCCTTCTCCCCCGCCCCCCCTCCACACCCACACACACAGCTGTCAGTCTGCTCTCTCTATCTATGAGCCTGTCTCTATTTTGCTTGTTAGTTTATTTGTTCATTAGATTCCACATATGAGTGAAATCATATGGTACTTACCTCTGAGGGAAAGTGTGTGTGCTGTTCTTGAAACATGGTGGTTTTTTATATAGTTCAGTCTCTACGAAAATTGCCATTTCAAAGTGGCTTATGAACTTAAAACTCCATACAGGCCGAGAGTGAACATCTTGCCTCATTGGCAACATCTGGAGCCACTGGGCTCTGCTTGCATTTCAAAGAGCACCCCTTTTTTCTTTCCTCAGCCTTGTTTGGGAACCAAGAAAATAAGATGGCCTAAGCCAGCGGTTCTCAACCTGTGGGTCGCG